GTCATTGGTTTGTTGATATTGCAGAAATTTAAGAGAAACATCCGAATGTACAGTCAGAGACGACTTGAAACTACCATAGACCGCTGTTGCCCGAACACGAGCTGCCCCCCTCAACAGAGCAACAGATGATAAGCTCATAGAGAACAAGCCCGACTTGTGTTCATTCATTTCAGCAATTATTCAACTTCGGGCTCTGTTAATAACCTGTGCACAGCCTACAGATGCCTGCTATAAGCTTTGCCTTCAATGGAGCCTCTCAACTGTTCCCGATGATGTCCTGTATCTGCCACTCTTTAAGCTGGACGCTCCTTCGTTCTTTTTTGTGGTTTCAGAATTTATCGTGATTTAGGAGAGAAAAAAATATTTGAAAGAACGTCCCATTTCGAGGAGTAGATAACGGGTTTGAATCATGCTTTATTGAAATTTGGATCAGCGGTATGCATTAAAATATGCCTTGATTTTGTTGGTGACATTTCATTTTCTCAATGCGACGAAAGAAGATGGCAGGTAAGATGGACGTCTTCTGGGTTGTAGCGCAATGCAATTTGGCAGACGTTTACCATTGTTTCATAACTGATTGATGCCCTAATGATGGATGCCCTAATGATGGATGCAAGAAGCACCTTTAAAAAACGCTTGTAAATTTCTAGCAGACTACAAGGCCCTACAACCCAGAAGACGGCCATCTCCAATGTCTCCACTGTGCTACGTCTGAGAAGTTGTCGGTTTTTCCTCTGAACATAAAAAAATCTTGGTGACACTGGGCATAAGATATTTTAAAAAAACACCACAAAAGGAAACACTGTAATTGTAATCTGGAAGCAAGAAAAATTGATTAGAATGTCATTCGGTGCGTACAGACACTACAAAATGCGGATATAGGCCAAAATACGCGGACGACGAAATTGTGGCAAAAAGGAAAACCTCGGTTGGCGAGAGAGCAAGGCACTAAATGCTCTGTTATCATGTTTCAATTGGGAGATTTTCCGATGACGGAACTTTCTCGTTGTCGCAGAGGGCGACTGCGGTGTGCGCGCAGAGAGTGGCTCCACCACGTCTGGGGACCTGGACGCTGCGGACGGAGATCTGGAGGCGGAGGTTAAACCCCGGAAGATCCGACGCAGCCGGACCACGTTCACGACGTACCAGCTGCACCAGCTGGAGCGCGCGTTCGAGAAGACGCAGTACCCCGACGTGTTCACAAGAGAGGAACTGGCGATGAGACTGGACCTCAGCGAGGCCAGAGTACAGGTCAGATATGCGTCCAAGCCTCACGCCTGGATTGTTTCATGTCACGCTTTCAAATTAAAATTACGCGGTGCCAATGAAATACATTACATAATGTTTGGTTTCTCTCCTGACGGGACAACTAACCAGATGGCTTACCGAACCCGAAGGTTCATCACCGAACTAACCAAAGCCCTCCACCGGACCCTGTCTCCTTCGACTCCTATCTCTTATAGATCCCGCCTGAGATTATCCTCCCATCTACGTCTAGGTCTCCCCCGAGGTCTCTTCCCCTCAGGCTTCCCAACCAATACCCGGTGCACACCTCTTGTCCCATCCATGCGTGCTACATGCCCAGCCCATCTCATTCTTCTCGACTTAATCACCCTGACAATATTGGGGGAGGAGTACAGATTTTTAAGCTCATCATTATGCAGTTTTCTCCACGCTCCATCGTCTTCTCTCCTAGGCCCAAATATCCTTCTCAAACACCTGCAATCTGTGTTCCTCCGTCTGAGTGAGAGACCATGTTTCGCACCCATACAAAACAAGAGGTAAGATTATTGTTTTGTATATTTTAATCTTCGGGTTCTTAGAAATCAGACGGGAAGACAAAATATTTCGAACCGAGAAGTAGCAAGCATTTCCGGAATTTAGTTTTCTCCCCCAACCACCAAAATTCAGACGTGTCTTCGATGTGATCTGTTGGAGATCCACTACCACGCACGATCACGTTCTAGCGACTTTGATATTTACAGTAGCATTGGCCAATTAAATGAGCTCTTGCCGTTTTAACAAATGATGCCCATGTCTTTGAGTTATATTTGTTTACAAATGTTCAAAAGACGAAATAACTTTCTAATAACAAAAATAGTTTTTTCTTGTTTGCTTTCGTATTTTAGACGTATTGCTTGCGAAATTTTGTTTTGGAATCTATATTCGACGTATTTCTCCTATTAAAAGTGTTTACGTGATCTCTGAAACTTTCTGCGACAGAGTAATTACCGTTAAAGGCCTTGACTACATTCGTAAACATTTACAGCGTCGACGTATGTATTACAATTTCTATGGTTTTATTTTATTTATAGAAATTCTATAATATCAGTCGTGAAGTATTTATCAAACTCCGGAAAAAAAAAATTAAATCAGGAATTTATTCATTGTAAAAAGCGGAGAATATAATGACTAGGTGAGCAACTGTTAGCTTCTCACGTCTTTAATCTGTGGAGAACGAAATTAGAAGTTGTCTGCGAATATGTACATTTGAATTCAGATGACCAAGTTAAAGCACATTGCCGTTATGCGTTGTGTTTACAGGAGTTGCGTCTTTGGACGATTGTATTTTGTAGAATTAGTTCAGTTTGTGGCCGTCAGCAGTGAGACCAGAGAGATGTCGCTGTAGGCAGAAATGTTAAGGAGATGTTGGGACAAATTCTGGTCGCTGTCAATATTATTATATTTTGATGCTGCTAAGGGAGCCTGGGAAAAGTTATGAAGTTTTAAAATCAAGAGGTCATGGTTTTCGGTTCAGAATTGAGATAAAAACGTATAGAATATTAACAAATACTTGATTTTTGATTTTAAATAGTTACTTTAGCCGTAATGAACTACCTTGATCTGATGACAGTATTTCAGATGTCAAAGAAATTCGATTTTGTAATGGAACCCAAAGGATTTATTCATGCCATAACAGTAGCACACAGCCGCAACCTGTCCCAAAATTTTCCCTAAAGGTTGGAGCACATTTATTTAAATTTATTTTTACAAAAAAAAATATATTCGTCGAGACACGCGTTTGCCGATACGTTGACGCATTCATGAAATGAAATTTTACGTCCAAATAATCAGCGGCTATGTCAAAATCACGTGATAAGCTTTACACGTGTAAAGCCCTGTTGGTAGTACTGCAAATTCCTTCCCCAAACGTGTTCATAATTACTCTGATTCTTATTTTAATTTACGTATACGCCTCTGTCTGCGCGTTAGGGTTTCCGGATCAAACTTCTGTGTTTATTGAATCTTTTCTCATGTACGAGGTGCGATCGGAAAGTTTCAAGACTGTGTCAATAGCGGGCGAACCGGATGTAGTACGAGCTTCTGCCGCTAGGGGGTGCGGCCTACATTCATAGTGAATCAGTGTGCCAGCCGGCATCATCGAATTAGCATTTGTTTCTTAGTTACGGGCGTTTTGGTAGTGCATTACACCGACCCTCCTGCGATTTCGGAATGGCGTGTGCATCAAATGTTGCCAAAG